GGGGGGGGGGGGGGGGGGCGGCCGCCAATCGAAAGGCGCCGGGAAGAGGCGAGCCCGCTGGGGGGGCGCGGGGGTCCAGCCGCCCGTCCCGGGGCTCAGGCGTAGCCCAGGCAGACCTTGCCCCCCCCCCCGTTCCCCAGGCTGGGCTAGTCGGCACCCTGGCCTCTGAGCACGTCGCGAGTGCAGCAGGCGCGCTCCTGCCGGAGCGGCTGGCAAACCCATCCCTGCCCAGCCCCCGCCTCCTTGCCTGGAGGAGGGCAAATTTGGTAAAAAACAAACTTCTGGAATAGCCATTTTCTTCAGGATGGACCCCCCCCCCGGAAGGCTCAAGGCCTGGGGGGGAAACGGTGCTCCGGAGGGCAGATACTGCGGCCCAGGCGGCTTCCCGGGTCCTGCCAGGGGACCCCGTTTCATAGGCAGGACGAGAAAGATCCCCCCCCGTCGAGTCTGGGCTGGGGGGGAAGTGAGGGCCGCTGCTTCCAGACAATCCAGCCGCTGCAAGGGGGGATCTAGAAGCGGAGTGTGGGGTGGGGCCCCACCTTGGCAACTTTGACTTGTGGACTTCAACTCCCAGAATTCCCCAGCATGGCTGGCTCAGGAATTCTGGGAGTTCAAGTCCACGGGTCTTAAAGTTGCCAAGGTGGAACATCCCCGATCTAGAGGGATAATCGGCCCCTTGGCATGCGCAAGCTCTGGGGGGGGTCAGTGGCAGTGAGGCTCCAGCCTTGCCCCCCCCCCCGCACAGGCAGCCCCCCTGCAGGCTGAAGCAACAGCAGCTTCTGTGGGCTTCGAGGGCAGCCCCAAAAAGACACAGCAGGGGGGCCCAAGATGACCCCCAGATTATGCACCCAGTCTTTCTGGGGGAGCATCATCCCACCCAGGCAGACACCCCCAAAAGGAAACGCTCCCTGCTCAGGTTAAGCCGCAACCTGTCCCTCCCCGTCTGGATCCAGATGGCACCAGTGCAGGGATGACCCCTAATCCTGAGTGGCGGGTGACTCAGCCCCCCATCATTTCATGAAGATGCTATGGAGGGTCCCTCGACCATCACCGTGCAGGGAGAACCATCACATCGCCTTGCCTTCTACCCCCAAATGTGGAAACCAGTCCAAGGTGGCACCACGGAGGGCACCGAATGCTGTGGAGATCCAGGCTCAGTTGAGGCTACCTGGGCACGCCAGCCCCCCCCAACAGGCCCAGGAAATGTATCTCATTTGGACCCCCTTGAACTACAAGCGGACCCTCCCCTGGAAAGCTTGTGAGGTTTCCTGCAGAGGAAATGAACGGGGGGGGTGTTCCTCCAAGTCGCAGCACTTGCCACCCCTGTGATCCGTTGCCCGTCATCTGCCCAGGGTGCTCCACGGGGAGAGCTCGCTGCCCACACAGCCCTGAGCATCACATCCCCTTCCCCAGGACCGGAGGGTTCAAAGTGGGAGGGGGCCAGGAGAGCTGGCTGGGGCCCCCTCCAGATTCAGGATTGGGGGGGGGGGTTTACTGGATTTCCTCCTTGGTTAAATCTCCGGGAGGCCCAGACCCATGGCCTTGCTGCTGTGCAATAGGGCAGCTGGGGGGACGACGGCCAGAAGTGGGGACAGCAAGGGTCTGCTTCAGAGGGGGTGGTCCCTCCAAACTCCCCCCACCCCAAAGAGTTGGAGGCAACCAGGTGGGTGTTTTGCCACCTTTATTATTCAGGAATAGGTAGCCAACCCAAGAACACAGGCCCACATCTCCCCCTACCCCCCCCCCAAGCACAAAGAGCAGAGCTTCAGATACAGCTGCCCTCACCCCCAGCAGGGCCTGGGCATCACCCCCCCACACCCGACTGCCAGCTTCTAGGGCAGTGGTTCTCAACCTTTTTAATGCCGCGACCCCCAACAGGTCATAAGTCGAGGACTAAACCAGTCATAAGTCGAGGACTACCCAACCGGTCGTAAGTCGAGGACTTTCCCTGCCCGGGAGCGCTGTGCATGCGTGGTTCCGCCCCCTGCGCCGGCCGAGGCGTAGCTAGCAAGCGGCAGAGACGGAGCAGGCCGACCACCAGCTGGCCCAGCCCAAGGGAGGTAAGGCACCCGCCGGAAAAGGGGAAAAAAATGGCGGACAGCCTTGCTTGGCGACCCCCGTGAAATGGTCGATCGACCCCAAATGGGGTCGCGACCCATAGGTTGAGAACTGCTGTTCTAGGGAGTCTTCCATGGGGCGCTTGGATGCCTGCTTCCCCTGCAGCCTAATGGACCGAGTTGGGAGGGATGATAAAATATTCTCGGAAGTGCCCCCCCTCCAACCCCCCCCCCTTGGCAGAGCGGGCAGGGGTGCCCTAAAGTGGCAGAGAGCAATGGGGAGGGGGAGGGAGCTCCCACAAGCCTTCAATACAGGAGCAAAGAGAATTGTGCCCCCCCCAGCCCCAACTTCTGTACAGCCTTGGAACTATTGTGGGGAGGGGAGGGGGGGCCGGCAGCAAAGTTTGAAATTCTGCTTTTTGCCCCAAGAACGGATTTTGCTTCAGGCCGTATCTGCCTCTCCCCCTTTAAGACCCCCCCTTTCTGCCTCCATTTAGGTCCATCATCCCCAGCCCACCTACCACACAAAGGAAGGGGAAGACCCCTTCACAAGCCCCCACCACGCTGGATTCCGCCACCGCCCCCCAGAAGGCTGCTCCAGGGCAGGGGGAGGGTACAGAACATCCCTGCAGCTGCATCCAGGCAGGCCCCCATCCTGCCCCCCCCACCCAGGGGCTGCACCCGGGCCCTATGTCTACTACACCGCACCAAGCACACTGCGATGCAGCCCCCAGGCTTCTGCAGACTGCAGAGCTAGCGCGCTGCCCACTGGGGGCTGCACTCAGCCGTCACCCCTCCTGTAAGACGGGGGCTCCTCCCCACTACCCTCCGGAAAAGGGGGCGGAGGAGCAGCCACTGGCAGAATCACTGGGCGATGGCGTTCTCCTGCTGCAGGTTGGGTGCCGACCTCTGCCGACGCATGCGGGGCGGGGTGTGGCCCTCCAGGCCCCCAGAACGGCGCTGCGGGTAGGGCTGGTGCTGGTGAGGGTAATAGTTATGCTTGCGTGGAGGGTGCTGATCCTGCCCCCGGCCCCTGCTGCGCCTGGCCCGTGGGCCCCCTTCCAGGGAGTGGCGCCGGGCAGGCTGTTTCGGCTGCACAGTGGGGCTGTCATGGTTGTTGGGGCTGGGGGCCTGAGGCCTCTCCTCACCGGGGGCCCCTTCCTTCTCCTCGCCCACCATGAAGGCGGTGCTGGGCCCCCACGAGTAGCGGTGCTGCGGGTTGCTCTTGAAGGGGAAGCGCAGCTTGCAGTCCTGCGGAGGGATGAAGCGGCTGGGCCCTCTGCGCTGCTGCGGTTGCTGGGGCTGCAAGTTCTGCAGGCGCAGCTGCTCTTGGCGGAGCCAACGGAGGCGCCCCCGGCGGAAGGCGGGGTCCTTCTTCATCAAGCAGGAGACCCGGTCACCGGACCCCTGTTCTTCCTGGAGAGCCAGGGCACCCCCCAACCCGAACTCCCCCTCAGTTGCGAGAGCTCGGCCCTCTTGTGTCAACAGCAGTGACTGCCACTCCTTCTCCAGCTCTTCGTCTTCCTGGGGGGAGGGAGAGAAATGGAGGCGCTGGCAAGAGGGTCCAAAGGGAGGGTACTGCCCCAGAGTGGGGTCAGGCCAGACACAAGGTGGGGAGGACCTACATGGAGAGTGAGGGATGCTTGGCCAGCCCAGAAGGGCTCTACAAGAGAACTGGGTGTTCTGGGACACCAAGGACGTGCGGTGTTTTCCATTTATTGACTGCGGGGGGTGAATCCAGCCACCCTGGCACAGCGGGAGGAGTAAACGGGCTTTGGAAAAACCTGCTGCCTGTGGCAGCTGCTCACCTGGGCTGAGACGGGGATGACCTGCTCCATCTTCACCACCCGATCTCGCAGTGCTCGGATCTCTTCGTCCTTCATGTTGTTCTGGATCTTTACTTCCTGCAGAATGTCTGTCAGCTTGTCAATGTGCGCCCGAAGGTCGTTGACTTCCACGCCCGGTGTGCTGACCTGAGCCTCCGGGTTCCCAGTCGCTAGGCTGCCGCCCGTGGGGCCCTCGGACTCGCCCACGCCCACCGTGTCCCAGACATCCCGGGCCACGGCACGCCAGCTCTCGCGCTCGCTGGTGTCGCGCCGGCCGTAGAGGCGGCAGAGTTCCTTCATCTTGACGATGCTCATGGCCTCGATCTCCTGGCGGGAGTGCCGGAAGTCGTTGAGGGCCACCTCGTAGCAGATCTCCTTGACCGCCTGCATCTTGAGGTCAGCCAAGGTCAGCCAGCGGGGGTCCTTGGCTGCCCGTCGGCGCTGCGGGATCTGGTACACCCGTAGCGGCTCCCGCTTCTTGCCCGAGCTGGGCAGGCCACAGCGGCGCACAATTGTCTGCACTTTCATGGCCGGCAGCTTCTCCCTCAGTGAGGAAATGAGCCGCCAGCTCTCCTCGCACGAGCGCTTGTCCGAATCGTCGCCACTATCCGAATCTGCGTACTGGGAATTTGGGGGAGGGAAAAGAAACAGATGTGTGACGTTAAACACAAGTACTCCTCCACAATTGACCCAAAATTTGTTACTAGACAGTTAAGTAAGTTTTGCCCCATTTTACAACTTTTCTTGCCACGGTTGCTAAGTGGATCACTGCAATTATGTTAGCAACAAGGTTGTAAAGTGAATCTAGCATGGTCTTTGCTGGTCAGAAGGCCGTGAAAGGGCATCACATGGCCCCGGGAGACTGCGACCGTCATATACGCGAGTCAGTTGCCAAGCGTCCCAATTTTGATCACGTATCTACGGGGATGCCACAACGGACGTTGGTGTGAAAAACGATAACTGTTTTCAGTACCATCTGAATGGTCACTAAATAAAAGATTGTAAGTCAAGGACTACCTGCCATGCATCGAATAGACAGTCCTTAACTTATGACTACAACTGATGCTGTCATTAAGTGAGCCACACCCAATTTCCTGATGTTTTTGCTGTGGTTGTTCCACAAATCAGGCTGCCGTTAGGTAAATCCGCCTTCCCCGGTTGACGCGGTTCGTGGGAAGCCAGCTGGGGGAGGGTCCCGCGTGTGCAAGAGGGTCCCGGCCACGCACACATACCAGCCTCTGCTGTTCCAGGATCAAGTCTGCTTCCTCCTTCTCTCGGCGATATTGCGTCTCCAGGTCCTGCAGCCTGACCACAAAGTGGACAAAGCCGGACACTCGAATGAGGACACGGAACACAGCCCCCCGTCCCCCCGTCCCCATTTCCACGGCAGGATCAAAGCTGCAGGTGAGCTCTCCCCCCCTCCCCTCCAGACCTTGGAAAGAAAAGCAGAGAAAAGCCCAGCCCAGCCCAGCTGCAAGGCCAGGAGTGGGCGAGCCGTGCCGCCTGCCCCCCACAGCTGCCCAGGGGTTCGCCCCCCCACCTCTTCTCCATCTCCAGCTTGATGTCGATGCCCTGCTTCTCCAGCAACTCCCGCTGGGCGAAGTTCCAGTCCATGGTCTCCACCTGGCCCTCGGGGGGCAGACTGCGCTCACGCTCCATCCGGGCCTGCTCAGGGTGGTTGAAGCGGAAGACGTGGTTCTTGCCCATCACCACGCGGTTGCCTGAGGGGGGGGGGAGACGTAAGCTCTGGAAGGGGAGACTTAAATCCCAGCAGGAGATGTGGGGACCACAAAAGAGGCTGCCGGCTGAAAGGGGCGGGCGGCAGAACTGTCCTGGCAGCAGAGCCGACTGGCATGTCCAAGGGAGCCCCCTCTGCCTCCCCCCCTGGGCTGGCTGCCCTCAGAAGGACCGCCAAGCAACGAGGGGGCACTGCAGAACCTTTGGGGGGGGGACACTCCCCAGCTCTGAATGACTTTGAAAGCCACACAACCCATCAACGCTCAAAGGCAAAGGTAGGGCTTTGAGGCTGCAGCCCCCCAGCTAGAGGTGCTCTGGGCAGCCCCATTCCTGGGCAGGATGCCCCCCCCTCCAGCACTACCTGATCGCAGCACCTGGGGCTCCATCACCTGCTTCCCATTGACGTATGTCTCAGCCCCCTTGCACGGCTCCAGGGTGACCACAACTGCGGAGGAGACAGGCGGGGGTCAGGACCAGGGGTTCTCAGGAGGTACCCCACACCTGTGGGGCTGAGGAAGAGCTGACCACGCCCCAGGCTGCCCCTGAGCTGCCCTAGCCCAAGGGCCGTTCGGCTAAAAGCCAAGCGCAGAGAAGAGCGGGTGGTAGCTGGACCTTGGGGTGGGCAGGACGATGACCGGGATGTGCCTCCCTGCCCCCCCGTCCGGTAAGACCCCTGAAGAAGGCAATACCTGCTGCTGCCTGCTGCCCCGTGGCCGGGCCCCCCTGCTCCAGGCAAGCACAAAGAGAGGGGAGAGGAGACTCGGTTATCCTGACTGCCCCTGGCAGCCACACCGGAGGGAGGAGCCGTGCCCGTCCTGAGCCTCACCTTCTCCCGTCTCGCTGGTGGCGCTGCGGAAGACGCAGTGCTCCTCCTGGATGAACTGCCCACTCAGCCGGATGTCCGCGTTCTGCTGGCCGACTCTAGCCGGGAGAGCGGAGGTCAGGCCTGCTGCCCTGGCCCTGCCCGCCAGCCGGGAGGGAGGGAGGGAGAGCAGCCCTCCGCCCGTCAGCGCCCGGCCTCACCTGGTGACGCCGTCTTTGATGTGGTAGAGCAGGCACTCCGACATCAGGGGGTCCTCGTTCAGGTTGACCAAATGGGGAATCTGGGGAGGGCAGCCACGGGCATCAGCGGGTGCACAACCTCCGCCTGTAGCCCAGGCAGACCTTCCCGTCCGTTTGCAGGGCAGGGACCCCGTGTGACCAGGCTCGGGGGGGGGATATCTTTGCAGGTGGACAGTGCAACACCTTTGGGGCTGGGTGGGAGATTCTCAACAGGGTCAACTCCCAAGGAGTCAATTCTAAGTGGCAGCACTGGCACACACCTCGCACAACTGAGTGCACCCCAAGGTGGTGGAGAACTGCCTGGCCAAGGGCAGCTGCTCCCGCCCCCCCACCGCTCTCTGGACCCTCCCAAAATGGAGGAGGTGCAGTCCAGGGGACAGACGTGTGTGTGTTTGTGTGTGGGGAGATGGGGCAGGCCAACCAGGCAGGAACGTGACTGCCATGCCTCGGGGCACGTTGCTTACCTTCTTGGGGGAAAAGACCCCAACAGTGCCCCCGTCCTCTCGAAGCGCCACACCCATCTCTGCTAGGAGGGCTTCCCTGCAGGAAAGACAAGAGCCCACAGCCACTGAGACCCCCCGGCTGGGTCACTGGGAGAGCTCACGAAGTCTGCTAGCAGTTTGCCTGGCACACGTCTGTGGTCACGCTAGTTCAGGAGTCTCCAACCTTGGCAACTTTTAAGACTTGTGGACTTCAACTCCCAGAATTCCTCAGCCAGCAAAGCTGGCTGAGGAATTCTGGGAGTTGAAGTCCACAAGTCTTAAAGTTGCCAGGAGGGACCCCTGTTCTAGTTGGATGAGCATCAAAACCCACCAATGGGGAAGTGGCACACCTCCTGCTCAGGTGCTGCCTCCCAGGAGCACCACAACCTGCCAGAGTTGGTGGCTGGCTGACTCTCCCCGTCTGAGCGCTTCTCAGAGGCTTCCCCAATGCGGCAGAGCGCACGATGGCACCCCTTCTGAGGGCTCCCCTGGCAACCTGACGGCTTTGACACCTTATTTCCACACACACACACACAGAAAGAGGCTACACAACACGCAAACATGCAGCCCCCCCCCAAGCAGCCCCTCCAGGGCCTCCCTGGCAAAACCAGAGCACGGAGACGGGGGGGCACCTGTGCTCACCTCTCCATCCGGATGGCCTCCGTTTTCCGCAGTTTTTCCTCCCACGTTTCGTTCAGCTCCGCTATGATCCTCTCAGTCTCCTACAAGGGGAGGAGAAGCGGGTGGCTCGGGCACGGGGGTCCTGCAAAGCAGCCCCCCTGCCCAAGGTTCCCTGCGGCTTGCAGAATGGGACTGGCTGTGCTGCTGCAAAGGGGGGGGGGACCTGAGCCCCAGCGGCTGCCTCTATATCACGCAGGGAGGACGAGACGCCACCAGCAAGGAGTCTGCCTTGAGTTGGGCTGCTGCGGCTGTGGAGGATGGGTAACCCTTGGTTGCCAGGGAGCCCTGGGCTGGAGGCTGCCCCCTGCTGGGAAGGGCCCCCGGGGGGGCAGAGACGGGAGGGCTCGATGCCAGAAGCCAGGCACGGGGAGGGCCCTGCTCCTGCTGTGGCAGACCCAAGAGGGACATGGGTGCATGAGCAGAGAGGGGCCCCCACCTGCAGCTGCTCCATGGCCTCCTCCGTGCACAGAATCTGCTCCTCCGAGGACGGCAGGTGCAGCTCCAGCTCCCCATTGAGGGCCACGGGCTCCAGCAGGAGGGAGGCGTGGGCCAATGAGGCGAAGGGCACGTTGGGCACGCTCTGCCCGCCACCCGGATCGGCAGGCTCAGGCCCTGGAAAGAGACAAGCCGAGTGAGGGGCGCATCTCCTGGCTTCCACCAAAACCTCACCGTTGTCCCCCCAAACCCGTTCGGGTCTCCCTGTGAACGCCTCACAGCCCTCCCCGGAGCGCCCACCCCGACCTGCCCCTACCCAGGAAGCTGGCGCCCGAGAGTCCCTGGGCGGAGAGGAGGTCCCGCAGTCTGGCCACCTCCTCCTTGAGCTCGCGGATGAGGCGGGCGTTGGGGTCCTCGTTGATGATGGCGTTGCAGCGGATCTGCTTGGCCCGGTCGGCGTACCTGGGGCAGGAGGAGAGGGGCACTGAGATGGGGGGCTGGTGGGAATAGCCCGGCCTCGGCGTGGACCCTTGCCATGAGGGGGCCTCTCTCCCCCTCCCGGGCGGGTCCTCCTTCCAGCTCACCGGAGGGTGCTCAGTGTCTCCTCGTAGTTGATGTCGGCTGGGCTGAGGGCGGCGATCATGGCCGTGCGGGAGTTGCCCCCTGGAAAAGGGAGACATCGGAGGAAGAGACTCTAACGACATCTCCCACGGTGCCCACTCCAAAAAGCGGGGGAGGGGTCTCCCTCCTGGCCTCCTCGGGGGTCGCTCAGCTACTCACCCAAGTTCTCCTTCAGCAGCCAGGTGAGCACCGAATCCCGGTAGGGGATGAATTCGGTTTTCTTCTTCTTGTGGCTGCTTTGCTGGGAAGGCAGGAGGGGAAGTGAGTCGGGGGGGGGAAAGGGGGGGAGAGGGAGGGGGGTCCCCCTCCTCCCCCAGGGCCCCAGGGAGAAAAGGAAAAGGGGAACACACCCACAGAACCCATCGTTATTTACCCTCGCTCCCAAATGCACCCAAAGGTCCCATCTCTGGGTCTAAGCCCCGTAACCTGTCCCCGAAGCCCCCCCACCCCCATTTCTGCCTCCCCCTGGACTGAGGGAGCCCGGGCTTCTGCTCACCATCTCAGCCAAGGCGGAGATGACCTTGCCCAAGGTGGTCAGGGATTTGTTGATGTTGGCGCCTTCCTGAAAAAGTGGACGTAGGAGAGAAGAGTCTTCCTTAGCGACACGGACGTGGAGAAAGGGCAGAGGTCACGCTGCCCACCCCCACCCTCGGGAAACAGGAGACCCAGCCCAGCTCTGCCTTCTTGCCTTGAGCCTCATGCCCTTTGCGCCCGACGAGTCCGCTCGCTCGCTGCCCGCCAGGTCCACCAAGCTGATCTTGCTAACCTGGGGAGAAGGGGAGGGGGCACAGGATCAGGACTGGAGGGGGTCCCAAATTGATGCCGCAAGAGTTCCCCTGTGCTGCTCGACCCTGGGCCACACAAGCCACAGGCCTGGGCTCCTTCCCACCAGAGTCCATGTGGGAATGTCACAAGTGTGGACTCTTGTTTGGCGTTTCTCCCATCAGAAATGCCCAGCCCACCTCGAGGGTCCAGGAGGTGGACCCACACTCGTCCAGGAGGACCCCTCTGAACTTGGGCACCTAATGGGAGACCCCCCATCTCCTGGATGAGACTGGCCCTCCCACCTTCTCAGTGTCCAAGTCGGTGAGTTCATCATGCCGGCGCTGCGTGAAGACGATGGTGAACACGGCGTGGGAACGGCTACTGGTTTCGTTCATATTGGTTGCAGCCACAGTCCTGGGAAGGCAGGTCAGTGAGTGGGGGAGGGGGGTCTCTTTTCTGGAACAGCCACCTACTTGGGATCCACATTGCTTGGTCCCAATCCAGGGCTCCCCCACGCCCTACTCCTGTAGCATCCCACCTGTACAGGCCTAGGCACTGGTGGGCTCTGGGAGGCGAGGGTCCCGGGCCAGAGCCCCCCGAGGGAAGAGTGGAGGAGGAGGACCCTCCTTATCCCAGGCCATGACCCTCCCAGCTCCCCCCCCCGGCAGAGGCTCACCTGGCTTTATTGCCACAGTCCATGAGATCCGCAATGTCCTCGAAATTTGTGACGGCCAGCTTGGAGAGGCCCTCCACGTACGGCCCCATGATGGGGTGCTCACGCACACGCAGGTTTCCGCGGTTTTTGGGGCTCAGGAGATCCCGCACGCGCTCACAGTAGATCTCCATGTAGCTCACCTGGGGAAGGATGGGGGGGATTCAGGCTGAGGATCATGGGGAGTGAGGTGGGGGGCAGCCACCCTACATACCTCCACAGAACAGGACAGGGAGGGTGATGCTTCCTCGGCCACGCGGAGAAAGAGGTCTTCGCAAAGCTGTAGGGAGAAAGAGGGGGGATCAGGGCCGGAGGAGCGGGTCAGGGGTAGGTGGGTCACTCTCCTCCCTCTTTAGCCCCACACCCCAGCAAAGGCTGCAGAGGTTGGAGAGGCTGCAGGCCGGAGAGAAGCAAACAGTGGGAAGACCGGCGTGAAGCACGTCCCTCTCGGCTGCAGGCACCTGAGGGATGATGCCCTGCTGGCCCTTCTCCTGCTTGCCCATCATGGTGTACGACTTGCCGCCCCCCGTCTGCCCGTAGGCGAAGATGCAGACGTTGTAGCCCTCAAAGGCGTGGAGCAGCATCTCCTCCCCGATGTCCTTGTAGACCTGGTGCTGGGACACGAAATGGGGGTCCTCCTCCTGCAAGAAAGAGGTCCTCGCGTGGGGCGCCTGACGCACAGCCAGCCCCACCAAGGGAAGGGAGGGAGGGTTCCACGCAAGCGCAGCCGCCTCCCCGCAGTGACACTCACCGAGGTGTGGGACCAGTAGGAGTAATCAAAGGTGAAGCTCTTGGGGGCATCCTTGGCCTGCTTGGGGTTGGCAATGCCTGCGAGGGGGAGAGAAGGGGAGCCCCTCTGACCACCTCGGCCACTGCCAGCCCTCCGCAATGGCGAAGGCAGCGTCACCGGGAGGAGGAGGCTGCCTTCAATGCACCGGAAGGTCTGCCTGGGAATCCGGCTTCAACTGCGCCTCCTCACGGTCCCTGCTTGGGGGGCTCTGTAGCTGCACCTGGGAGGCTCACAGGCAAGGCAGGGGGAGGGGGCACCGGTCTGGGCCAGGATACCCGAGGGGGGTGCGGGGAAGTGTGCCAGCTCCCACTCTCACCCGAGTGGGCCCTGCCTGCCTCTCTTGCACAGACGCAGCACGCTGAGGGATGGAATCAGACGACTTTCCTGACAGCAGCCAAGCCGGATGCGAGAGGCGACAGGAGGGCAAGGTGGGACTTAAAGACATGAGCCCCTTCCCTCCTCCACGGATGCCACTCCTTAGCAAGTCAGGGGTAGACTGCCATTGAACCTGGAGGCTCCTTTCAGCTCTTATTCACAATCGCACCGGTTTTGGAAGCCAGAGCGCCAATGCTGCTAGCAGCACCCAAAAGTTATTTGCCCGGGGGCCTTTCCTCACAGACACCCCCAGCAGGGTCCCCCCTCCCCACCAATATCCCTGCCGCATGGCTTCATCCTGCCTATGGGCACCAGGCAGGAAACTCACAGGTGGTGGCTCCTTGCATCTGGATGACGCAGGTGGCCGCATGGCTGATCTCACGGGCACTGAAGGGACGCACCCGGACGGCCACTTTGACGGATGCGCCGGCCATCCTGGCTCCCTCTCGGCAGTGGGGGAGGGCAGCTTACCTGCAGGAAGATGAGGGGCAGACGGGCCCTTGAGCGTCTTCCTTCCAGCTCAGTGGCAAGGAGAGAAGCCGGCTCAACTGGGGTCAGGCCTTGCACGCTACATTCAGGCTGCGCCCAGGGAAAGTAGGGGCCCTGGTTGTGCCCCTCCAGTTGTGTTCCCCTCGGAATTTCTCTGACCCCAGGAGGCCCCGTCCTGACGCTGACCCTCCATCCAGAAGGCTCCCCACAACCCACGCATCCCGAGGGACAGACGCAGCCAGGTGAACCGGATGCCAGGACCGGGCTGGGCCGTTCCCAGGAACCGGCTGGACAAGCCAGCCGCCCCCACCGCAAACACACCCATCCTCGGGAAGCGCAGCACGCCCCCTTCCCATTTGGGTCACTGAGCAAAAACCTCCAGGTGGTTTAAGCATCTGTGTGTTTGTGTTTGTGTGTGTGTACGGGTACCGGCTCCTCCTGGCCCTGGCCGCGCTACGGGTGACGACGGAGCAGAACCCGACCCAGACCCAGCAAGGCCCTTGGGAAATGTGCCAGAGACCCACCCCAGGATGGTGGCTGCCCACGGCTTGACACAGAACCAGGGCAGCCCATGGTGGGTTACAACTTAAACCCCGGGGGGGGAAATCAGCATTTAGTGGAAGCCGAAGCCCACCCGGGATGGAGATCAACAGCGCCAGGCCCTCCGAAAGACCAAGCGAACGTCTGACCTCTGAAGACCCACGAAGCCCTTCCCTCCAAAAGCCTCAAAGCCACCAGGTGGGAGGTGGGCAGCTGCCTCGTGGGGGGGGGTGTCTTTTAAAGCAGGGTTTGACTTTTCGGGGCAGGAAAGAAGGGCTGTAGGGGCCCGTTGCCAGGGCCCCACAGATTCCCTCCTTTGGGGAGAGCCAAGGGGGCCTCGTTCTGGGCCAGCCTTTCCTGCCTGGACACCTTCCTGGGGGGGGGTCCGACCTGCCCCGCTGGCTAAGGAAACCCTTTCCTGGCAGCAGAGGGCAAAACCAGCTCGGGTGGATTATGGGGGTCCCAGGAAGACGTGGCTGGATCACAAAGCTTGGTCACCTTAACATTTTTGAGGACCGAGAGTGGCGGGTGGGAGGGGGGAGATGGTTGGGGAGGGGGTAGCAGAGACTGAGGGTGGGCTGGCCCCATCCCTGTCCCAGCCAGAAAACAGACGAGGAGGGCCAGGCTTCTCCTCCTCCTTGCAGCCCACCTGCCCCACAGCCCCCCCCTTTCTGGAGCCTGCACCTAAGGAGCGCCAGCCCCCTCCCAGGCCTGACCTCTGAGCAAGGGCTGAATGGGTAGAGAAAAGGGGAGGGGGCTCCATCACATCCCCCCCCAGCCGCTCAAGGAAGCTGAAAGTCACCCCGGAGACGCCAGTGGCCGGGCGTCGGCCCCACGCCAAGGGGGCAGCCAAAAGGGCCCCTGAGGGGGCAGCTTTAGCTCTGCAAAGGGCCCAGCACCACAAACCCCAGGCCTCAGCACCCCCGGATGTGGCCTGAACCGGAAGCCCCCGTCTCCGCCAGCACTAGACCCCATGCGAGGACCCCGATGGGCCCCCTTAAGATCCCCCGCTTTGGGCAGGGACGGGGCGGCAGCCGGCCAGAGAGCCAAGGGCCGGCTGGACAGGAGGCCTCAAGCCATCTCGGGCCATCCCAGCACCGGCCTCTTCCTGGCCGAGGACCAGCACTCAGGAAAGGGCCGGCCTGTCCAAGCTGCGGCCTCTTTTGTCAGCCGGACTCCCCCAGGAGTTTGCCCACTGCCTGGAATTGGGGGGGGGGGAAATGTCAGGCTCAATGCTTGCTTCTGCTCAACGGACACCCCCCTTCCATGACCCTGCAGTTCCCCCCTCCCCCAGGAAGAAGGGAGCAGCTGCTTCCTTGGGAGGGGAATGACCAGAGCCCCCCCCCCGGCCAGAAGGTGGGGCAGCAGGCAAGGAGGAAGGAGGCCATCTTGGGACTTGGACCGGACATCCCTTCCCTTCCCTTTACGACTCTCTTCCCGGAAGCCCAAAGCAAGCCCCCCCCCCCCGATGGGATCCCAAGGCCACTCCTATTGGCCAGCCAGATGTCCCAGGAACCTGCTCAGGTCAGGCGAGACCCCTACCCTGAGCCACTTCCACATCCCCCCACCCACCCACCCACCCGTTATCTCCACAGGTCAGCCAGCTGTCCCAGCAGACCCTGATGAGAGGGCCCCCAGATGTGGGGGGGGCGACACTCTCCGTCCCCCAGACCTGCCTCTTCCTTACAGCTGCCACACCTGTGCCGCTGGCCCCCTCCTGCACATCTGGCCGGAGGGCCAACCGTCCAGCGACTCAAAGGGCCCAGAGAGTCCCAGCTGCGTCTTTCTTTCACAGCTGCTTCTGCAGACCCCCTCCCCCTGCCCCAGGACTGTGGGCAAGCCCATCACACCAGCCCCAGACCTGGGCTATACACACTCCTGCCAACGAGCCAACATTTTGCTTGCCACCATCCCGACAACCGCTTGCAGCTGCAATCCCCCCCCCGAGGAAGTGGGGGTGGTGCCCATGCCAACCCCCACCTTCTTGCCATTTGGATGCTGCCTGGGAGCTTCCAAGGTCACTGAGGGCGTCCCTGCCCAATCTGCAAGTCTCCCCCCTCCCTCCCCAGATTGCTGACTTCCCCCCATTGTGCAAAGCCCCCTCCCCCGGCTGCGCTTCCTGCCCACGCTCACCGGACCGGGGCCCTCGCTTGGCAGGCAGGGCAGGCTGGGTGAGTCACAGCGATGCCGGGCATGCGGCCACGCTCCTGAGGGGGCCCCGGGGCCCAAGGCCTGGCTGCCTTCTGCTGAGGGGTCTGGAGGAGCCCCCTCCCCCGGGCCCCTGCTTAGGAGGGAGGGAGGGAGGGGGTCCCAGCTCCTCCTCCCAGGAACCTCCCCAAGGCTGCCCCAGGGGCAGAAGCTCTCCAGCCTTGAACCCGCTGCAGAATCAGTCGGGGCCTGCCGGGTGCCAACCGGGGTCTCCGCCTGGGGGTGTCCTGCAGGGCCCCAGCGCCTTTCCTCCTGCAATGTGAGGCCAAGGGCATCGGAGCCAGCCTGGGGGCCGAAAAACAACCCTCCCTGCTCACATGACGGCTGATGACAGCGAAAAATCAAATTATTTTTAGCCGAGACAGCTGTTCCTTGGCAACCGAGGCCTGGAAGAAAGACGAGGCACCGGCTCAGAGCCTCCATGCACACCTACGCACACACGGGTGCCGCAAGAGACGTGGGCCCTTGCCCAAGCGCCACGTGCAGGAAAGGCCCGCCCGCCTGTGCCCAAGCGCCACGGAGGGGCATCAAAAGCACGGAGATGGTCAGGCCCCTGCCCGGCCTTGTAACCCCCTCCTCAGCCCAATCGGACAGAGGCCCGGCTGGCAGCAGACGGGGCATCGTCCTGGGCTACTACCCGGGGAGGCTGTTTGCAGAGATGAGCAGCCGCCCGGGGCAAAATCTTTTATTCATGGATTCTTCCAGGGAGGCTCCGGAGCCTCTTGTGGGGCTAAACAGAAGCCAGAGTTGCCGAGTGTGCACTTGTGCGGAAAATCCTGTTGTGTCTAGTGTGAGTCAGGCAGCCGGCATCCCAACTGGGAGCCCTCCGTTTTTCTGCGTTCCTCCCCACCCAGGTGAGGCCGGGAAGAAAGGAAGAGCCCAGAGCAACCTGGGGGGGGGGGCTGGGGAGGCAAAGCAGGCCCCTCCCCACTCTCTCTCCTGCTCCTCTGCACGGGGGGGGGCACATGAGAAGGGGCTGCTGCTGGCCCCCTCCAGCGGTCTCCTCCTTGCAGGCCCCTCTTGGCTTCTGCCCCCCAGGCAGGAAGAGGCTTGGGGGGACAAGAGGGGAGCGCTGGCCAGACCAACAGAACTGCCCCCTTAGCCCCCCCCCCGCAGTTTGGGGCAGAGGAAAAGCTGATCTCAGTGTGCCCCTTTCTGCTAACTGCCCCTCTTCCTCCGAGGCAAGCTGGGTCCCTTTGCTAAGACCCACCCCACAGCGGAGGTAGGACCGAGGCTAACCTCGGAGGCTTCCCCCCCCCAGTCCGGAAGAGAGGCCAGGCAACCGGGGGGGGGGGTCAGATCAAGCCACACAAATCTGCCCAGGTTCCCTTCAGCCTCTGCTTTCCTGCCCCTCAAGACAGATGGCAGGCATTAAAAATAGGCCCCTGCCCCCAAAAGCTGTGGGATCCTCATCCTGGATTGCCCCCCCAGCTCTTTCCCCCTTGACCCGCTCTGGTGCTTCTCAAGGCCTCTTGGCGGGCACTGCCAGGCTGCGGCTCCCTTTCCCCCTTCAGCCCCAGGAGGGGAACGTGGCCACCACTCCAGGCCTCTCCTGCCTCAGTTTCCGGGACGTCTTTGGATTGGCACACACACAACTGACCCACACAACTGCCCACCTACCGGGCGAGAGAAAGACTGGGAGGGAAAGCTGTCCTTTCCCAGGGAACCCCCGATTGTGTGCCAACCCAGAGGGAAATCACAATACCTTTGCTGGGCTCGCCCACCACCCAGACAGACAGAGCAAAGGATGCCAGGAAGCCCCCCCCCCTTTCAAGCAACGCTCCCCCCACCTGGCTGATCCCCAGCAAAGCTTCTGGGCACCCACAAAAATGGGTGCTTGGCAAAGGAGAACAAGCAGGGAAAAACTCCCCCTCCCACACAGTCCCCTTTCTCTACTGCCCTGCTCAGGTGCACCAGGGAGACTCAGGCACCAGGTGAGTCTGGACCTTGCCCCCCCCTTCCGGGCACATGGCTGAGCCAGCAGAACAAAGTCCCACGTGCTGAAGCCAGGCAGCTTCTGGCAGTCAGCTCACCGGGGTGGTGGGGGGGATTGCCAGGGATTCAGACCACTCTGGGACGCCCAGCCTGCAGGGAGCCTGCCAGGCAACTGAGGGGGTGGGGGCAGTAAGACTTTAATTGATGCTTCTCCACTCCCAGTTCTGCCAATCCCTGTAATCACCTGCCCAGCAGGTAGGAA